CTTGTTTGTTTACTTCGCTTTTTGGTGTAGGATACTGGGGAAACATCCATAGCTTCTATTATTACTTAGTAATTCAAATGTTTGCTGGATTGTTTCAATCCACGGGATGGCCGTCAGTAGTTGCGGTTGTTGGTAACTGGTTTGGAAAGAAGAAGAGAGGGTTGATTATGGGTATATGGAATGCTCACACTTCTGTTGGGAACATTTCTGGTTCTTTGATTGCTTCTGCTCTTTTAAGCTATGGATGGGGGTGGTCCTTTGTTGTACCAGGACTTATCATTGGTTTCCTTGGTTTGGTTGTTTTTCTTTTATTGCCTGTATCACCTGAGTCCGTCGGAGCTGATGGAGAGGAAGATGAATGCAATTCACCCAAGAAAAATGGAGATGAAGAAATTGAAGAGCCACTGTTAAGGCCTGAGACGGTTGTTGAGGAGGAGAAAGCTGTAGGATTCATAGAGGCATGGAAAATTCCTGGGGTTGCTCCTTTTGCTCTTTGTCTTTTCTTTGCCAAGTTGGTTGCATATACGTTTCTCTACTGGCTTCCATTCTACATTACCCACACAGGTGCGTCAACTTTCTTCTTGATGTTTTAGATTCTGTCTTTATAGCAACCACATAATGCACTAGTACTTTAGTAAAAATCTTTGATTACTTATTTATTCTCGTGATCATGCAGCAATTGATGGCAAATATCTATCTAGTGAGACAGCAGGAACACTGTCCACTTTATTTGATGTTGGTGGAGTGCTTGGAGGAATCCTGGCTGGCCACATTTCGGATAAGTTAGATGCCAGAGCAATAACAGCAGCAAGTTTCATGTACCTTGCAATCCCTGCTCTCTTCTTCTATCGGTCTTACGGGCACGTATCATTGGTTGTAAATATAGTATTGATGTTCATCACTGGCATGTTTGTGAACGGGCCTTATGCTCTCATAACAACAGCTGTTTCGGCTGACCTGGGAACACACAGTTCACTGAATGGAAATTCACGAGCTTTGGCAACTGTGACGGCAATAATTGATGGAACTGGTTCTGTTGGGGCGGCCATTGGCCCTTTAATAACAGGCTACATTTCTAAAGACAGCTGGAATGCCGTTTTCACGATGTTAATGGCATCAGCTCTAATTGCAGGGCTTCTTTTAACCAGGCTTGTAATAACAGAGGTAGCCACAAAGATTGCCGAGTCCAGGTCTCGTCGTCGTGGAGCACAAGAACCTATAGCAGAAGTTTGAGAATTTTAAAACAGATGGCAGTGATTTATCTGGCTGTGTTGCCTACCTACTCCCAGAGTGTCCCTGATTTACTGGCTCCGGTCATTATTAACGAAGGACATGCCCAGTAATGGCTGAAATGGAGAGGGGCGTTTTAAATTTTATCCATCGCCACGATTTTATGGGGCAGTTTGGCGTATTTTTTTGTACATAAGTGTGTGATTTACCCAGTTTGGCATAGTGTCATCACAAAGATGACCTTTACAAGAAATGGTTATAATTTTTGTATATTGGAAATTTACTTGGATATCAGGAATGAGATTTCCCAGTGAGTTTATAAATGGGTTTGGTGACCATAGTTCAAGAAATGCGTCAATGTTACATTATGTCATTTTTTGTTAATTTTGGTTGAAGAATTCTTTGCAGTCAGATTTGCAATAGCACCGGCAATTCTACTACCTCTACATACTTTAAGCGTGATTTTTGTTAAGTGTAGGGTTTGTACAAGAGACGGCCTGGACATGGATTCTTCATTTAGATCATTTTGTGAGGGTTGGAGAGGGGGGCGCGCCTAGAGATAGATTCTTCTTTTTAATCATATCGCCGCGCGTGTGGGCCTAGAGATAGATTCTTCTTCTTCTTCTTCTTTAATCATCGCGCGCGCGAGTGATTCATTGGATTATCAGGTTATGAATGAATAGTGTAGGAAGGTCCTGCCTTTGGTTTCAACTAAGAGACAATGTAAAGCACCAAAATATTGCTTTTAGACAGCTTTTACACAGGGGACTTAAAAGAGGATGCAATATGATTGGTCTGAGGTTCTGGTTGAACATGAATAGATTTATTGCTCGAAAGAATCATTCAAACTTTAGAAGATCATGGCTCAAAAAATGAGGTCAATTCTGAGTTTCTGATCTCACAAGAATCAAGATCTCTGATTCTTTATAGATTATTGTTCTCTCCATATTATATGAGGAAGTATAGAATGTTTCCTCTAAATCCACCAATGTTAGGTTATCTATGCTCCCTTCAATAGAAATAATTTAGAGAAAACACAACTTTATATCTCTGGATTCTATTTGATTTTGTTATAAATTTTTGTATTTTTTATTTTATATTCCAAGTCTCTATACTTTTTTTCATTTATATCTTAGGTCTCTATACCTTTGAAGAGGCGTTAATGTAGTACTTAATTAAGTTGATTACTTCATGTGCACTCTAACATCATTAATTACGTGGTAACATGTCATTCAGTTGCTGCTGATGTGTATTTTTTAATAACCAGAACACTTTTTAAAAAAGGCCACACGTGCAAAATGAAAAGGTTGCCTTGCAGCCTCTTTCCACGGGCAAAACAAAAGGACCCTGAGAGGCTGAGACGCAAAGCCACGACGGCAGAAAAGGGTGTTGGAGGACGCCAGAGAAGGCCACATCATGCGCTCACTTAGAGAAGAGTGAACCCCACTGACATTGACATTGATAGACTTGAAATGAAGCTCAATCTGCGAGAAAGAGAGACAACTCAGAAACTTGAAATAGCATGAGACGCACAAGCCAGAGACAATTTAGGACCACATGATAAGTATATATATAAGGACCACAAAAACTATCAGGAGGGGAGATAAGCAGGACTCGGTTTATATTTTTCTTTCACAAAATAAGCAGTGTCCAGCTATTTTCAGGACCACAAAATAAGCAGGACTCGATTTATATTTTTCTGGTTATGGGTCTCTCTCTGAGTCCTTTTGTTTTTCTTGTGCCCTAGGACATCAGGGGCTTCCAGATCGTTATGCTCCACTCATTTGTCTGCACATGTGGCTTTTTTTAAATTTTCTGGTTATTAAAAAATATACATCAACAACAACTAGATAATATGTCACCACATAATTAACAATGTTTGAATCTATGTCAATATACTTAACTGTCAACATTTCTCCAAAAGTGTAGGAATCTAAAGTGTAGATAAAAAACAGTATAAGAACTTAAAATAACGATAAAAAAATTGTCGAAACCTATAATAAAATTTGAGTAAAGTTTTGTTTTACCAATAATTTAAATGTAAAATGAAAAGGTTAAAAAAAGACAAACTACAATGAAGAGGATGTGTATATGCTAATAAATAAATTGTTAATTATTTGATTTAGGGTAAAAGCAAATTAACCTTTAAATTATAAGTTTAGGAATGTTTGAGTCTTAAATTAATTTTTGGTATAATGTTCTATTTCAACTTTTGAAAATGGTGCAATTTATATCTTATCGTTAATAAAAGTTAACTTTAACAATTAATTAGTCAAAAAATGATTAAAAAAAAAGGACCTTAAAAGTTATACTTCCTTCATTCAAAATTATAAAAACTTTTGGGAGAGATTTGCCATCCCAAAATACAAGCCACTTTAAGAAGATTAATGTTTCATTAGTTAGGCTTATTTTAATATTACCCTTTCTCTCTCTATTTAATACTAATTAGGTGTAAATTTAATGTTATTAAATGAAGGATATTTTTAAAAATTTACATTTTTATTCTGAAAAAAATAAAAGAAGGATATTTTTAAAAGTTTACATTTTTGTTTTGAAAAAAATAAAGTTATTAAGTGTATTTAATGAGATTTATTGGTATGTAAAATCTTGTCTAAAAGGGTCTTATAATTTGAGACGGAAGGAATATTAAAAAAGGACTAATAATATTTTCTTAGTCCTTATTTGTAATTTTTTGGGTCATTATTTATAATTTTTGGATCATTTATTATAAATTTTTTGATCATTTTCTATAATGTTAAAGCCATTTTATGTTATTTTCTATTTAACTAGTGATAACAAAAGTTAACTTTTATTAATAATAGGGATCAAATTATACCATTTCAAGAACTAAAGAACAATATTGAATTAAAAATAAGTTTAAGATTCTTGATACTTTTAGATTTATAGTTTGATAACAATGAGCATTATATCTCTTACTTTGGGTGTTCAAATTTGATTTATTTTTTTGTTTTTTAATCAAATCATTATTTTTTACAAAAAAAATAAAATCATTATTATATTTTAAGTCAATAGTTAAAATATTATTTTAATTTTTTTCCATTATTTAAAGTAAATAAAAACTTATATTATTTTAAAAAAGTAAATGAATAGTAAATTAAATAAAATGCTTTCTAGAAAATCTAAATATAATTTATATGTAGATAGCTGGTAAAGGGACAAACTCAACCCATATGGCCTTAGCCTTAAAAGCTTATTTTATTTTAATTTATCTAATAATTTACTTTTTTCATTGTAATGTTATATTTTTTTTTTTGGAGAATCACACTGTAAGCCTTTAAATAAGAAAAAATTTTACTTTGGAACACATACATTTTGATATTGTACTGTAGGCTCAAAGGCTTTTGTTATATATATTTTTTTGAGAGTGAAAGTATAATTTTATCCTTATATGATTTAAAAACTTAGATCATGTACAACATAATGTCTATAAATGTACAACACGATATTTATGGATACATAACACGATATGCATGTGTATCCAATTGATCTATAGGTTAAAATATACATCACACAAAACACGTACAACACATTATCCATAAATGAATAACACCATATTCATGAATGCACAACACAATGTTCACATGGACATTTAGTTGAGAGTGCATGAACATCATGTTGTGCATCTATGAATATTGTGTTGTATATTGTTTACGTCACTTGTGTATTTTATTAAACCTACTAATCAATTAGACAAGCATGAATATTGTGTTATGCATCAATGAACATGATGTTGTGCATAATTTGAATTTTCAACTCATATAAAAGTAAAATTGTACTTTTACTCTCAAAAAATTACAATAAAAAACCTTAACCCTGCAGTACAATAACATGATATATTAAGCCTGTATTGTAATTCTCCCTATTTTTTTATCTAAAATATAAATTAGGATTAAAGTATAATTTTATTCCTCTACTCGGCATTCAATATGTAACCTTTGACCGCTCTTTGACTCTCTGACGTGGCATCCTTATTTATTGTTATTATTATTATTATTATTAACGAGCAGCATGTGAATGGAAGTGAAGCACACTCGCTCCCTCCACAGTCAGCTCTGGATCTTTACTATCATCATCGATGATGAACTCAGTTGAAGAGATCCACAACCACCCTTCCTTTGATCATCATCACCTCGAGGCTCGACCCCTTTCGTCCTTTTATCGTCGTCGATTCAGCTCCTACTTCCTATGATTTCAGCAGGCAAGGGTTCCGTCCAAGACGCCGCAACGCCGGCGACAGATCTCCCTTTAACCCTATAATTGTCCTCCATGGACCTGTCGACGGAATCATTGGCCAGAACGGTGTCGGTGGTTGACTAGGAGGAAAGAAGCTTCGAGTTGTACTACGATTAGAGTAAGACGAAAGTAGGGGAAGAAAATAGAAAGCTCCTGCATCTTCAATATAATCCATCGATGAGAGTAACAATTATGCCAAAGTATCTCAACAGCAATCAAAATCAAGAAAAAAAAAAACAGAGAGGCAAATTCTAATATAACTTCGGAATACACATCAGGAAGTAGATCTTGTCGCTGTTGATGTTGTTCTACAAGCTTTCAGAAAAAAAATCTAGATCAGTTTAGATTTTTATCACATTCATTCCTGAAATAATATGCTGATCAGAAGGCTTTAGGGTAAAAAAAAAAAAAATTCCCAGACAGTATAAAACTTCTTAAACACCAAAAGCGTGTTGGGGTGAACTTTGGGGGATTTTCAGTCGAATAGGAATCATGTAATAAATAATGCATTAACATTCTTTATTTGGGGCGGCGATAGAGAAAGTGTAAAAGCTTCTCCAAAGGAAAAAAATTAATCTCATACCTGAACTGTCTAAAAGCCAGGGATCTTTTTGTCTTCTGAGCTCTTTCTCTTCGTCGTCGTCGATGAAGACGAACCATTTTTTTTGGCCTAAAACTTCCTCTGGTTGTGTCGTCCGTGATGGAGAGAGCCAGTGGTGGTCGGAAGTGGGTCTCTCCACTTTCTTCTCCTCCATTTCTCTTCACTTCCTCCATCCTCACCATTTATTAATTTTTTATTTAAAAAAATTATTTAATAAAAAAATTTGAATGGTGGGGATGGGAGAAGTGGAGGAAAAGAAGAAAAAAAAAAAAGAAAGAGACCCTGATCGGTGGTGGTCCTGATGGAGGTGGTGATATGGCACGCTTGGAAGAAGCAAGGATCCAAAATAGGTCACAAAGCTGGTAAAAAAAATTAAGGGCTGCCACGTGGAGGGTCAATAAGGGTCTGATCATCACATACTCGAAACTTGACTGCAGATTAATAAAAGCAATAATACTGGAAAAAAATTGTTCCACCTTTTAATGTATACTAGTACCCAGCACACTTCAAAAATACTAAGTAGAGAAATAAAATTAAATTTTACTCATAAATTATCATGTTTAAAAATTAAAAAAATAATATAAATTTTAATTTTAAACTATAAATATATTATTAAAAGCTAATTTTATTTTTAAAAATTGAAAATATTTTATGTTTCAGGGGCAAAAATAAAGGCCTAAACAAGTTGGGTTTAGAAGTTCAATCATACTAAAACTCCCAGTTTATCAAGCTTGAAACCTTAAAAAAATGTACGGTTTGTCAAACTCAACTTATATTCTCTACTCTAAATTTGTATTAAACAATTAATGGCACTAGCCATTCTCGATATCTGTGAATGTTTTTGATACTGATATTAACTGTGGGATAATTAGAATTACTGTGTGCCACTTACAGTATTTCTCCCTTTCTTTTTTCCATAATATTGATTGAATTAAAAAAAATTAAAATAATAAAAAAAGTTTTGATCAATGGGGCAATCTGTACGCTGATGCTTTAGATAACTATATATATAGATAAAGAACATTATATAAATTTTTAATCAGTCATTTAATTTTATAAAATATCTTTTTAGTCTTTTAACCCTCACATCCTTACTTTCAAGTGATTATTTTTTATGTTAACTAATATTATTTGAAAAAAAATTAAATTTAATATATCAATATTTAAGAATGTTTTGTTAATATTTGAAAATGCAATGTAAAAATTTATTAGGATGAAATTAACAGTATTAGAATTAAATAATTAAAAATGTACTTTATAAAATTAAGGAATTAGAATAAAATATTGTGTTGAATTAAATAACTAAATGTGTATTTTAGCTTTTATATATACTGGGATAAAATTAGCTAACAATAGTTTAGTTGCTGAGGGGTCTCTATTTGTAATCATCTCTCTGGCGCCCGTCTGGCCTTTTCTCGCTTACTCTCATGTAGCTTTGGGCTTTGCCCCTTTATATTCCCCCGGAAAACAAAAAAAAAAAAACCGCATTTTATAATATTTTAAATGTACCAACACATTTTATAATTATAATAATATTCAAGAAAATCATAAAAGTGTGTGATTTTGTTTATTTATCTCGTTTGTTATGATAGGCCACCCACATACACGTAGCACTCCACTCCACTTCCCACCCTTTGCATTACGCACAGTGGCGGAGCCACATATAATTAAAAGAGGCATATGCACCCCCTCAATTTAAAAGAAATTATAAATGAGTAGTAGATATTTGTAATCTTATTTTTTTTATTTATAAAATTTTAAATCCTTTGAAATCTAGGCTCTTTTTTTTATAAATGTTTTAACTTAAGTCTAGTTATGAATTCACTAAGTCCAAAACTCTAATATAATTTTTAGAAAAGAATATACTTATTTGTTTACTTTTTTTAAATCTCTGGTTAATTATATATATTTTTATATGTAAATAATTTCATAAATTAGTGACTTATATGGAAATAAATATTTTAATGGCATTTAATAATAAGTAGAGGACAATTATAAAATATATAATTATTTTAAAAATATTAAATAATTTTTTTTTGAATCATTATTTTTAAAATTAATTTACACTCCCTAATGCAAGATCCTGACTTTGCTACTGATTACACATCTACTCAAGCGGATGGGTGGAAGAAGCAATTTTAAACTGTTCAAATTAAATTATAATCATTTAAGTTTGATTATTTATCTTTTTAAAATTTAGCATTTTAATGAAAAAATTTGTTAAAAAACATAAAATTCAAAACCTTCAAATCCTCATCTAATGACTGGAAAAAGAAAAGGAAGAGAAGAAGATAAAAAATAAAGAGGAGATAATCCGTTCACAGGTGGCTGGGGTTGCAGGCGTAGTATTCCGGCTATGCCTAGCACATCCTATATATATATATATATATATATATATTATAAATATAAAATTCAGTTTGACAAGGGATCGAGTTTTGTACTTCTATGACTTTAAATGGGATGAAAGTGGATTTAGCCACCCTCAATGGTGGCCTATACAAAGTTCGTGCTAATGCACATCATATTGTTAAAGCTGCAAATCTTCTCTCATACAATTCTAATGGTTGGCAACCATTTCAGTATGAGCAAAATGCTGCAAATGAAATTCTAAGAATTCCTATCTCATTTTATAGGGTGAAGGTACAATCTCCTCCTCTCTTCAAGTAGCACTGCTCTATATATCTTCACTTAAAAGTAGTTTTTTAATACTCTATCTCAAAGATAAAATTATCCTATAAACAACTTCTCTTTCTTTGAAAGCTAGAGGTGATAATTTGAATTAAGCCGAATAAGTTCCAAAAATTTTCAGGTTGAACATGGTAATTTAAAAGATTTTTTTTTTACTTTGAATTTATTTAAGTCACCTGAATAAAACTGAAGAAATTTGGGCTAAGCTTGAATGCCCGAATATCTTTTTTTACTGTTACTAAGATAATATAAAATTAAGATAAAAAGTGAAACTATTACTTTTTTTAAAATAAAAATTAAAATTAAATAAAAAATAATATAATATTTAATAATTTGGGCATTCAAGCCTGTCTAAAAGCTCAAAAGATTAAGGTTTAGTTTGACTATATAAATTTTTTTATATGTTATAACATTTAAAGTTTGATATAAATAAGCTTAACTCAAATTAAACTCGATATGAATAAGCCAGCTAAACTAAAAGCTAGATCATGTTGCTTTGCCTTTCGGAAGATATCTTGAATGCTCACCATCTAAAAGTGGAATTTAAGTGTGCCTTCGGTTGTGATGAACAAAAAGCACTTGATCATCTCTTTGGCTCATTAGTATGTTTTCGATATTTGAAATAGTCAACAGCTCGAGTGTTTTTGAGAATATACTCTACTGCACCTTATTTGGAAGAACTGAAATCTAGTTTTTCATCATGGTAGTTGGATTTCACTGCAACAAGTAGTTAAAGAATTTAAGCATTTATGTGAATTCTTTCATACTACTTGTCCTTTGTCCTTAGTCCTCTAATAGTGAAGATCCTTGTTCTCCCCGAGCATACTCCTATGATTTCAGAATTTTCAATGATCCTGAGACTCAATCATTAATCTGGAGGAAACTTCTTTGAGATTTCGTAATACAAATCTTCATTTTAGAAGATCGGCTTCATTTCAGTCAAAAAAAAAAAAGAAGATCGGCTTCATATACTCTGCAACCCAATCACTAGATCTTATGCTTATGGAAGTTTAAGAAGCAAGAACATGCAAAGTTTTTTGTGCTAATTTATCTTGATGGGAATCTCCTTGTTGAGATCTGCTGTTTGAGATTATTTTCCTTTGATAGACGTTTCTTCTCTACTTCTGTGCTTTGAGCAGTGCTTTGAAACTTAGACTAAATTGGACGGTCTGATTGTTGACCACTCAATAAAACGGTTTGATTCAACCATTTGAATTATTCTTACATTTGAGCATGATTGACTCAAGCAGTTTTAAGAGAATTAAATTTGACCCAAAAACTGGAGCTAGTCAACTTGGTTGAAAGCCATTTTTTTTATTTAAAAAATTAGACTAGGTCACTCAGATTTGTTATTTTTCTTTTCTAATCTCTACTTTACTTATGTCTATTCTTCTCTAATCTTTAACCTCTCCTTTAGCCTCTACCTTTAGCTTTAGCGATATAGTCTTTGGCATCAAAATCAAAAGTGAGTTGTGACATGATGGTGTGCCTTTAGCTCTAGAGTTTTGTTTTAAGATCGCGAGCTTGTATCGACATATCTCTGCCTCTAGCTCTAGCGGTCTAAGCATGTAGCTTTTGATGTCAAGATCTCAAGTATCATCGACAAATTAATATTTTATTTATATATTTGTATATATAAGTATTATTTTTTATTTAATTTTTATGTTATCAGTTTGACTATCAATTTGACTTGTTAAATTATAAAAATCACGATTTATTATTTTTTCCTATTCAATGTCCCGTTTGGGTTTCAAACTATTCTTGGATTGTGCTATCGCTGGATTGTCAAATCTTGGTGTGGTGGCCTTGCACAAGCTTTTGATCAGCATAATGAGGTGGAAATCTATTGCATGCAAAAGAATTTCTTCTGACGTCTTCTGAACAAAAACATCCATTGCACTTTGATTTGGAAGGATATTTTCAACCTTTACTACAATGCTTTGCATCTGTCAAGGTGTCAGCCTCCAATCAATTTTCTGTTTCTATTTTTTTAAATCCTTTTATTTTCACGATATTATGGTTGTGAATTAAGCTTTTTTTAATTTTATTTTATAATATTTGATCTTTTATAAAAATTAAAAAAATGGATCGTGAAAGTGCTTTGAGAGTGATATTATCTTCGAATTTAGTCAATGTAATTTTCCTCGGCTTTTCAAGTTGACTTTGCAGAGATTTAATTATTTAATTATTTTTTCATGATATTTCTCTCTCTGAAAGTTGAAAATCACATGCCACACTGGTCACACAACAGCAAATCCCTTTTCTTTCTTCTCTGCGTTCAGTTGCTGATTCTCTATCAAATATCATTGCGTTAGAAGTAGCAAATAGGTTTAAAATCTGAGTCGTATCAAGGAATAGCTATTTCATTGTACTAAATTGTTTATACAACAGCTTTTTAAAATTAAATAAATTCATCATACAAAATAAGTAAAGCCACAGAACAATAAAAATTAGCAGATATACTTAGCAATACAATATAGAAGAGAAGCTTGAGAATTGAAGAGCTAAGCCTCGAACACATTGCATTCCTTATACTATATATAGGCACAGCACATGGACGACCTTGACAAAGTATTTAGACATTGGTTTAAAGAACATAATAGCACATAAAGTCAATTTATTTGGATGTTTTTAAAAGTTGAGAAAGTTATGACAATTAAATATTATTTAAAGCCATTAACCCATTTAAATACTTAATAAAAAACTCCTCATCAATAATATACTCCATAAACTTATAATTTAAACACAATAAACATAGGTTTTCATGGGGAAGCCAAGGAGACAATTAATTTAATAATTTTACAAAAATAAACCCGATAAAAGAACTTAGTGCTTGTTCAACTCACACGTAGGGGGTGTTCAAGCTCATTTACTGGCCTACCTTTATTCGTTAGTATATAAACACTAGCAGCTCTTCTTATGTGGGCAATGTGGGATTTTTCCTTTTGATACACTTACACAATAATTATAACAATCCCTCACATGTGTCAAGAAAAGCATTATCATCTGAGTCATTCACATGAAAGACAATCATTTTAAATTTGGTGTCTTTTAACTTGAATCAAATGTAAACCAATAAAACTTAGCATGCAGAAAAGTTGGTGTAACTTCATTGTTGAACCAACAGATCTTGAGTGTATACTTGAGGTCTTATTAGTCAAATTATATTCCAACAATGTCTGTTATCAATGACAGTTTTGCACGTTATTGGCTGTATACTCGCTTAGTTTTAATAATGCTTTAGAGATTTTGCCACTATATCATAGGAGCGGCCCTACTCTACATTCGTATACGTGATTTCATCAAGTGTATCCACGATGAATATACCACCCAAAAAGACTATGAAAAACATTAAGAACTTTCGCTCAGCCTTTTATCAATACATTATAGCAGTTTCTCAAGTAATAAGAAGGAACATAAAATTTAGTGCTAGCGAAACTAACAAATGACTTGTTCTTACCCATTGAACTTTCTTCATGCGATCTCCAATCACAACCATTATCGTTAATTTCAAATTGACTTAAGTCTCATTCCCCTCCACATTTTAATAATTAAATGCTTACTTAGGGGTATAATTTATGAATCTATCATATTTACATCTGATTTCATATAATTGATTGAAACAACTTTTTTTTTAGCATGTTTAATTGTATCTCAAACAATGTCTACCTGCACCATTGCTCTCTTTACAATGACTATTGCGTTCTGGCAATTACACAAATCATCAATATATTTTATATCATTTTTACTCACATAAGAATATTCATTGAGAGGAGTCTTAACCACTCAACCTCATTATTAGCCAACTTTAAAGTAACAAATTTTGACTCACATAATATTTTATTTGGCTACTAATAGATTTTTCCTCATCTAAATATAAAATTCAATTAACATAATTATATTATTTTAATACAATGAAAATCCATCATTCATGGTACCAATATTTATGATATCACTCAAATGCTCGGTTGTCTCATCCTCTTATGAGATTACTTAAAATACTCAATTTTCACGCAATATATGTCATGAGATTAATATTTATTAATGTAACAAACTCTTAAAAATTTGTGCATATATAGATTGAGAAATAAAAAAAAAAATCCTTTTTAATGGCATATTACATCATAATAAATCATCTCCACTAGGTGTCAGTTTTATATCAAAATAATTGTTAAGAAGGTCTCCAGCAACTTAGCCTCCAACCTAATTTTAAATTAATTAAATTAAACTTCACTATGGTCCTATCAATATATTTTGAGTTCATAACTATTGAAAGTGGATAATCACTGGTGAATTTTTTTATATGAATTTATAATTAAATTAACATTGTGTATTTTATACATCCGGTCTCCATGTATATTTATTAATTAAATAGCATGAGAATATTGAAGCTTGAATTCATATGTTCAAAACTTCAAATATTTTAACAGTTGAAACAATGATATACTGGAGAATGGAATTATGAATTCTATTTTGTTTTATATAATCTTAACAACTTTCAATTTATTAAACTAATTTTTACAAACATGTATCCAAATTCCAAACACAAATTTATTACAATAACTAATTTTTATTAAATAAATTTTTAATAAAATGACTTTTAGTTAATAAAAAGCTAAATGAATATTATATTTAAAAAATTGAATTCAGTCGAAAGAGTCTACCTTTTTGCCTCCAAATCTCAATGAAGAGATAATCTTTGTTGTTGATAGAACCTCTTTGTTCTATCAAAAAGTGCGGAGAAGCTTATCATTTGCCCTCAATATTTTAGGGGAGATAATATCTGTTATCGGTGAAATTTATTCCTTATGTTATAAAAAATGAATTTTGATTTGATATTGACTAAGATCTGAATTTTTAGTATTTAAAAAAATATTTATGAAGGTATAGACTATATGGTATATGGGTAAATAATTTCTTTTTTCAGCATTTGGTCAAATTATTATTATTTTTTATTTCTTACATGTATTTTTTGTTTTTTTTTGGGGACCAGTTACATGTATCCTTCCATTGAGGGCCGGGAATACACAAGATCGTATACTTAAATATTGGTACATTTTCTCTGGGAGATTCTAACCTTGGTTCGTTAGATCCAACCCTTCAAATTGTTGTTTTTTATAATACAGATTTTATTGACCGTAACTAGCACTTCACATATTGACCTCATATCACAATTCACATCGCAATCCATCAGCGATCATGTATATCTCCATGTTCGGTGTACCAGGACAGAGGGGACGGCCTCATTTTCTTCTTCTTCGTACATAGATATACCTCTGTAAGACTGTAACACAGTTTGAATCAGACCAGTGTGATTGATCTTTGAGGTTGAAACAATGGCAAGCCATCATCACGAGGTTGTGCTTCTGGACGCAACGCTGAGTGCGTTTTCGATGAGGGCTAGGATAGCTCTAGCTGAGAAAGGCATAGAGTATGAGAAAAAAGAACAAGATTTGGTTAATAAGAGTCCTGAGCTTCTGCAGATGAACCCTATTCACAAGAAGGTTCCAGTTTTGGTTCATAATGGGAAGCCTGTTTGTGAGTCTCTGATAATTGTTCAGTACATTGATGAGGTCTGGAAGGACAAGGGGAATCCATTGTTGCCTTCTGATCCTTATACCAGATCTCAGGCTAGGTTCTGGGCTGATTTTGCTGATAAGAAGGTATGTTCATGTTTTTATTTTTGGCAACTTGAAATTATGTGCTTTGAATTTATGGTCTGATTTTGGTTTCATGTTCTCATCTGCAACTTGATGATTCAGCGTAGTTCAGAAAATTTTAATCTGATCTTATTGGGGATGGGAAGATGTTCATGATTTATATTGATTTGTTGTTGATCTTTGTATGTATCACACCCTTTAACCCAAGCTTTAAAATGGTTTCATTCGACTTAATGTTGTGTCAAGCCTCAAGCGTCAATCAAAACAGATAGTAAAAAATTTCTTCAAGACATTGAACTTTTCACACAAACTTCACTCAATCCTAGGTTTTTTTTGGCCGAATCCTAGTTAAAACATCCATATGCAATATTTTAAAATCTATAACAAACTATATGCAAAGGTATGTTCAACTACACTGAGTAAACAACACAATTACACTCTTTTCTCTCTTCATTGTGGTTGCTAGAATTTTTTCCTTTGATTATATTTATTTCTTTCATGGCATCAAAGTTAGGTTAATCAAGTTTTTATAGTTTTTTTTTTTTTCAGATTGGAGCTTTTTTTTTTTTTTTAATAACAAAGCTCTAGTTCTCCCCCTTTTTTTTTGTTTTCAATATTTTGATATCTTCCTTTTAGTTTTAATTTTTTCCTTGATAGTTTTGATTATTCAACTCGAGCTTTCGTTTAGTGATTCATTTATGCAAGAATCACTCTTAGTTTTTTCTTTTGCTTATTGATTCATTTTTCTAGAATCACTCGTAAGTTTTTTGTTCAGTGAGTCCATTTCTCCAAGAATCACTCCTGAGTTTGTCCACTTAGAGATTCATAGGTTTCCATTTAGTGATTCATCTTGAGAATCACTCTTGACTTTTCTGCTAACCAATCCATCTCCTTCAAGAATAACTTCAAGTTTTTTTTTCTTTTTTGAAGTAATCATTTATTATCCATGCATATGAGAATCACCCCGAGTTTATCTTTACTGTTTTTTGAAGCCCCTCTCTGTTGTATAAAGGGTTGATATTTGCTCTTATTATTGTTGCTGCCACTACCAACCAACTGATTTATTCTCCAGATCAAATTATTACAAACTCAAGATATCTCATTATTGTAATTTCCTATTCTGTTTAGGTTGCCCAATCATATTTATTATAATTGTTGTAGATTGATTTGATATTTATTAGGATATCTCATTTTATTCTATATAAACCATTCTAGAATATTCTTTCTTTGAAAGCATGTTGAAACAAGCCCAGGTGGTTGACGTGGTGACTAAGGTATGGACAAAGAAAGGGGAAGAGTTTGAGATAGCAAAGAAGGACTTCATATCAACCTTCAAGCAACTAGAAGAAGAGCTTGGAGACAAGCCTTATTTTGGAGGTGAAAACTTTGGGTATGTTGATCTTTCTCTCATCCCTTTCTACTGCTGGTTTTATGCCTATGAAACTGTTGGCAGCTTCAAAACAGAGGATCATTGCCCTAAGTTCATTGAATGGGCAACAAGGTGCATGCAAAGAGAGACTGTGGCTAAGTCTCTTCCTGATCCCAAGCAAGTCTATGAATTTGTTCTGATCGTAAGGAAGAAGCTTGGTGTAGACTAAATAAATGAGGCAGAGAAGGGTTTGTTGTTCTGTGAAAGGATTTTCCATGTTGGGTTTGAACTAGTGACCTTGAGTTGGTCAGTGGTTGTGCTAAACTATTTAAAAACTAGCACATTGGACACTTGGGGGTGTCTTTGGAAAGTGCTGTATATATTTCACTGTCATTTCACTAACAATTAATGAAGCTTAAGGATGGTAAATCTATTAGACTATACTTTCATAAATTTTAGCTGTTATGGGTTTAGAAAGGTGAAAATGTGTTCTGATTCTATGGAGGCTATCTATGAAATTATGAACATCCATGACAAGGCCACCCGATTTTCAACATTGTGCAGGATATCAGATGTCTATTGATAAAAAGATTGGGAGGTCTTTTCTTGATCATGTTAAAGAGATGCCTACGCTTGTACATACTTTCTTGCCAATTTTGCTCTTAGAATGGTTGGTCTTAGATTATACAGTAGTAAAGCCTTAGATGGTAGGAACCATTTCTATATGTACCTTTGTTGGTATTCCTCAGTGCTTCGCCCTTTTGTATGTATCCCCCCCCCCCCCCCAAAAAAAAAAAAATGAAAAAAGGCTGTTAAGGAAACGAGTGGATAGACTTCTGAATGTCTAATATTGATTTATGTGATGCACATGCCTAATGCAACAAAATAACACCATTTCTGCAGAACAATCTTGGAGAATTATTTCTGCGAAGGAAAATTCTTTACTTGGTGTTACACTTAAAAGAAAGTATATGGAGCCCTTAATGAAAGGATCTTTAAAACCAAAGCTAATTATTCCTAGATGATGGAGGATGTGATCAAGGCTTTTCGTGTGGTGACAAACAAGCTAACATGGCAGGCTGGTTCGGGGAAAAGTATTCCTTTTTCCCATGAGAAAAGGTTTCCACCTAAAGAAGGATCAAGAGATTGAGCTCATGTGTTGCAGATCTTTTCATGATTGTTGATAAGGCTTGAAATAAGCACTTTATTGAAAGCCATTATAGCTCCCCATATGCGCAGGAGATTCTGAACACTTCCTTCTCTTTATTTGAGGAAAATTAGCTCTAGTACAGGTTAAAATTGGTCAAGGGCCTTTTTTTTTTTTTTTTTTCAATAGCATACAGGTATTATCCTATTCAATGTGCGGTAGAGGTACCAAACATTGGTAACGTTTCCCAACAAAGATTTAAATCTTAATTCGCTTGTGTTGTGAAAGACTAATCTATTTCGTAGACCCAATCTGTTGATTTACATATCTGGAATTTTTTGTGAAAGTTAAAAACTCCTAGAAAGATTTCTGTTGTTTGGATGGAAAGTATTTAATCAAGCGGTTCCTTCTCCAGATATCCTCCAAGGACATCATTTGACTATCTCATATTTGTGTCCATTCTGTCTAGAGGTTGAAGAAAAATCTAACAAACACACACATCTGTTCCATTGCCCATTTTTTAGAGCTGTCTGGTTTCAGCGAGCCTATCACTGAAAAACGGATGCATTATGGGAAACCATTTAACTCTTTATCTCATGGGTGTAGCATGTCTATGACAGAAGGCCAATGGACTTCTGCTTTTAAGTTAATTCTTAGTCTATGTTTGATATATGAAAAAATGTTTTCTAGAAAGGAAAGAGGGAATTTATCTAGATATAAGATGAGATAGGTGCATTTTCCATTTCGTTTTTTGAAAGTATTTTTCCATGTTCCAAACATGCACTTAAGGCCTATTTTGATTGCTGAAAAGAAATGCAATGCAATGTAATATGTTGATGGAAA